AATATGGAGTTTCCTAAGGGTTCTGCAGCCTCTCGAAGATAAGTACAGACGTCTCCGTACCGATCCACAAGACTCTACTAAACCCGCTCATGACTCGTGAGACCTATGTAACCTAAGCTCTGATACCAACTTGTCACGACCCAAAATTAACTGTCGTGATAGCGCCTATCGTGGAACTAGGACAGCCTCAACACAACAACCCAACACCAACAACAATCAGTTTGAAAACGTTAATGGAAGCATTTAACATTTAAGAAAAAACTGTTTAAAACATATGAAAATCCCAAAGTGATACAGTCCAGCCCAAAACCAGGGTGTCACTGAGTACATGAGCGTCTAGATCAGAAATATAGTCTACTACAGTGTCTAGAGATATAAACTGAAAGTACGACAAAGATAAAGAAGGAGAGTCAAGGCACGCGAACGCCGTGCAGCTACCTTGATAGTCTCTGAAACTCTAGGATCCTAAATCAGCAACCGCCGCTACGACCGGTATCGCCTGGATCTGCACACGAGGTACAGGGAGTAACGTGAGTAGACCAACTCAGTAAGTAACAAGTCCAAACTTTGGACTGAAAGGTAGTGACAGACTCAACCGGTACAGACTGAACAGAAATGTAGGCATGCTTTCAAATTAAATAGGCAACTCAAACAGTAAAGTGAAGCAGATCCGAACAGTGTAAAGAATATAACTCTGCTATCTCTATATGCCAACGCACATGTTGTATGTGATGCACCATGCTGTCAGCCTCATGTGCTCACACTCTCAAATGCTCAACCACTCGATACTGTATATGGCTCATACAGCACAGGGAAGATCTATCCCAGAACATATACATCACTTACTATAAGTCACCCAGTACCGAGGAAGGCCAATCCATCCCTGTGGAGAAGATCCATCTCCAGGTATCAAATATTTCGAACAAGATCCATGTCCAGGGAAGATCAATCCCTTAACAATATCAACCGCGCTCACTGGGGGTGTGTTACAGACTCCGGGGGGGAGGGGGCTCATACAGCCCAAGCGCTATCATAATCATCAATATAACCACTGCGGCGTGCAGCCAATCCCATAATTGTCACTCATAACCAGGCACTTGGCCTCACTCAGTCATCAACCTCTCCAGTCTCACCACGGGCCCACAATGCCATAAAAACAACCGGAACAATAATATGATGGATCAATAAATAACTAAGACCGAGATATGATATAAAAATGTATGATCATGACTGAGTATGGAATAGTAAATGAAACTAGTGAGATGACAGCAAGAAACGACCGCTAAGGGTCCAACCAATACCGGCACAAAGTCTAAACATGATATCTAGCACGATCTACAGCTCAACTACTTTTTCACCTGATGAAAACATGGATATCAATAGGATAGAGTCACTAAACGGTTCCATGGAATCACCCAGGTCACAATTCTCACGGTGCACGCCCGCACATCCGTCACTTGGCATGTGCATCACCTCAGTACCAATCACATAGCATATAATTTGGGGTCTCGAACCCTCAAAACCAAATTTGAAAATGTTACTTACCTCAAATCAAGCAAAGTCTTACTCCAGAATGCCCTTGCCTCTCAATTCGGCCTTCGAATGTCCCGAATCTAGCCACAAGTAATACAATACGATCGATATAGGCTAAAGCAATCAATTTCACAAGAAAAATACCAAATTATAGCTAAAATCTGAAATCGACTCAAACCCCCCCCCCCCCCCCGGCCCACGTCTCGAAATCCAAAAAAGTCACAAAACCGGAAAGCCCATTCACTCACGAGTCTAACCATACAAAATTCATCAAAATCCTACATCATTTGGACCCTCAAATCCCCAAATTACACTCTCTAAAATCCCAAGCTCTAACCCCTTATTTCACTTCAAAAATCCTACTAATTAGGTGGGAAAACAACGGGAAAACACCATAGCTAGGAGTATTAGAGCTCAAGCAACTTACCTCTATGAAAACCCTTGAATCCCTTTCAAAAATCACCCCAAAAGGTCCAAGGTCCAACTTGAAAATGGTGGAAATGAACAAAAATTCGCGAAGTCTTCTATTATAGGTCCTGCCCAGGCTTTTTGCACATGTGGCTCAAAATGCGCACCTGCGGAGCTGCTTTTGCGCATAAATCTCCGCATCTGCGGAAAATCAGTTAAGTGCCCATCTCCGCACCTGCGCTCCCTATCCGCTTCTGTGACTTCGCAGGTGCGGAAAAGACCTCGCACCTACGCCCACTGCCAGTCCTCCTCTTTTCCTCTTCTGCGGGCAACTACCCGCTTTTGCGGGCTCGCAGATGCGCACACTTATTTACACCTGTGGTTTCCCCAATCTAACTCACTTCCGCATCTGCGCCTAGCCCACCGCACCTGCGTCGTCGCACCTGCGACAATACCCACGCAGGTGCGATTACACCAGCAACAGGCCAACTTCAGCAAATTCTCCAAACTTCAAACTTGATCCGTTAACCACTCGAAACACACCCGAGGCCCTCGAGACCTCGCCCAAACATGCCAACAAGTCATATAACCACAAACAAACTTAGTCGAACCTTCGGATCACTCACATCAACATCAAAATATCAAATTACTCCCGCATTCAAGCCTAAGAACTTCTAAACTTTCGAATTTCACAAACGATGCCGAAACCTACCAAACCACGTCTGATTGACCTCAAATTTTGCGCACAAGTCATATTCGATATTACGGACCTACTCCAACTTCCGGAATTGGAATCCGACCCCGATATCAAAAAATCACCCCCGGTCAAACTTCCCAAAAATTCGACTTTCGTCATTTCAAGCCTAAATCAGCTACAGACCTCAAATTCACAGTCCGGACACGCTCCTAAATCCAAAATCACCTAACGGAGCTAACGAAACCGACAGAACTCCATTCCGGAGTCGTCTTCACACCATTCCGACTACGGTCAAAATCCTAGGACTTAAGTTTCCATTTTAGGGACTACGTGTCCCAAAACACTCCGAAACCAAAATAAGCCCTTCCCGGCAAATCACATAAGCAAAAACACATACGAAAAATGTAGTAAATAGGGAATTGGGGCTAATGCTCTCAAAACGTCCGATCGGGTTGTTACATCTCGTCTAGCCAAGGGTGCCGACCCAATATTAGCACACATATGTGGAACAATAGCAGCAGACGAAAAGCGACATGAAAACGCCTACGTCGATGATTGAGAAATTGTTGGAATTGGACCCAAATGACTCCATGCTAGCCATTGCTAATATGATGAAAAAGTGCATAACGATGCCTGCCTACCTAATGAACGATGGGTGTGATCCAGATCTATTCGATCACTTTGTTGTTGTGGCTCAAAGGTTAGGAGTGTATACAAGTCATGATTATGCAGATATATTGGAGTTTTTGATCGATCGATGGGCATTGGAAAAGCTTGAAGGAATTAAGGATGAGGCGAAGCGTGCGCAAGACTTTGTGTGTGGATTACCACAACAACAACAACAACTCAGTATAATCTCACTAGTGGGGTCTGGGGAGGGTAATGTGTACGTAGGCCTTACCCTTACCCTGGGGTAGAGAGGTGGTTTCCTATAGACCCTCGGCTCCCTCCCTCCAAGAACTCTCCACCTTGCTCATGGGGTGACTCGAACTCACAACCTCTTGGTTGGAAGTGGATGGTGCTTACCATTAGAGCAACTCACCTAAGATAAAAAGGTTGCAAGAGAGAGCCGATGAGAGAGCTAAGAAGTTGGAGCTGCGTCAAGTGAAGTTTAATTAGCTGGATTTTCAACAAGGAAGTGAGTATATAAAAGAGTTCATTTGTGAAAAATGTACAAGATTAGCCACACAACCAAGCATTAAAGCTATGCCTAGAAATTAATGGAAGTTGAAAATGGTAATGGTAAGAATGTGTAAGTGTCCTAATTTGGTTTGACGTATTACTTAAACTGATATCAATAATAAATTTTACCTTAGATACCGATTGTTTGATTCATTAGTAAGACTTACGCTACAGTTAAAAGCTTAGAACTTTTTAGTTTACTCCTATTGAAAAGCTATTCTATTCTCACAACTATTATAAAATAATTACTACAATATAATACTATAAGTCTTAGAATTTTATAACCACATATTTTGATATTTATCCTCGTTTATATAAAATAGATGCACTCACCATCATTGGATCTGTTGGGATTCAAATCAATGTCAATGATCCTAGAAGCCCCCGCAATCCTAGCTCGTTCAGCGGCATAATATAATTTATCAAAATGACAGGGAAAACAAGAAGGAATACCCCAAATCCATCATTAAAAACCGAATCATGTCAACAACAAAGATAACAAACTAAACCCTAGAAGCCGAAAGAAAACATGCAGAGCAAAGGAAACTTACAGCGCAAAGCACTCTGAAGTCAATGCTGGTTTGCCGTTTCAAAATCCTCGAACCATTTGTTTCTTAGAAACATTAATGTTGGAAGCAATTTTCTTTAGCGGCTCTCGAACCCCTCTCTTTCGACCTTTCAGATCTGGTGGGAAGTGACGAAACAAAAAGAAGTTATGGGGGGGATATTTTCTCTTATAGCAAAATAAATCTGATTAGGGAAAATTTTATTTTTTTAGAAATTTTAGAGCACACCCATAAAGTGTGGCTTTAAAGATTAAAAAGAGATTAAAAAGTAGCATACTTTGCAAAGCGTTGCAGCAAGTTTGGCTAAACCTGTTGTGATTGGCAACGCCTAAATGGCGTGGGCTTTGGAATTAAAGACCACACTTTTCAAATGTTGCGAAAATCTCCCTAGCCAAAAGCTTTTATCAAAGGCTAGTACGCCTGCAAACTGTGCCCACAAATTCTTTTGGTCTATATTTAGTGTGGTCTTAGGCTAAATTTGTTGTAGTGGAGCCACATTCGTGTCACATGGCAATACTGCTCGGCTAGCCAAAGAGGGCGGGGACCCAATTTTAGCGCGCATATGTGGAACAATAGCACCAAACGAAAAGCGTCACGAAAATGCCTATGTCAAGATGGTTGAGAAATTACTGGAATTGGACCCAAATGACTCCATGCTAGCCATTGCTAACATGATGAAAAAGAGGATTATAATGCCTGCCCACCTAATGTACGATGGGTGCGATCCACATCTATTCGAGCACTTTGCTGTTGTGGCTCAAAGGTTAGAAGTGTATACAAGACATGATTATGCGGATATATTGGAGTTTTTGATCGATCGATGGGCATTGGAAAAACTTAAAGGAATTAAGGGCGAGGCGAAACGTGCACAAGACTTTGTGTGTGGATTACCACCTAAGATAAAAAGGTTAAAAGAGAGCAGATGAGAGATCCAAGAAGTAGGAGATGCGTGATGTGAAATTCGGCTGGCTTTTCAACAAGGAAGTGAGTGTATAACAGAGTTCATTTGTGAAAATGAGCAAAGTAGCCACAAAGATGGCAAGTATTAAAGCTATGCCTAGTATAAAAGTTGAAATTTTGTAATGGTTTGAATGTGCAAATGTCCTAATTTGGTTGACTCGTACCAATACTAAATCTTACTTTGATAGCCGGTTGTTTAATACCATTAAAGTTACTACATGGTGATAAAAGAAGATTTTTGGATTTATAAAGGAGCGAATGAAAGAGAATTTACTAATTACATTTTAGTATCTCTCTTCTTACAAATGTTATACTATTACATTATAAAACGGGGAGGGGAAATGGGTTAACGATTCAATCTTGAGATTTCACATTCAAGTTAAGCTCTAAACAGGAAATTGGGCAATAGATTGGTAAACTGGGTAACCCTATATATTATGAAACTTATTTTGAGATCTAGACCGTTGACTCAGGGGATGCGGGCTCACCCTCAAATCCCTAATTATATTTAGTTCCCTCCTTTTTGGTGATTTAGAAACTAGAGAACAGAATTTTCTTTTTCCCCTTGAAATTAAACTGAATGTGCAAGACAAGAAAGGTAACAGCGGAATAGCATAATATAACATGGAAATCAACTTAAGCCTTTCGAAACATATAGTAATATTATTACATAATATGGAAATTAAACTAAAGCCTTGGACAACAGATATGTTTTGGCTTCAAACGCTACTCACATCATTACCCTAATAAAATATTGTTTTATTAGTATCAGACTATAAAGATTAGGTAATAGGGGGCATAGGAGCAACCCACAAGCCTTTACTTCCTATTTAACGTTTCAATGCTCCATAGTGATCATGCAACGTAGACCTTCCCCTTTCAGCATATACTCAAATGCTTTGTTGATCTCTGAAAATGGAACTTGGTGGGTAATGAATTTCTCCAGCTCTAGCTCCTGAAATTTTTTCCAGCTCACCAATTAGCTAAAAACAGACTGATAAATCTAGAAGAAAGATAAGTATGAAGAAGGCTATGGGATAAAGTTTAACTTCTATATATGCCGAAAAGACACAAGTAAAACTTCATTGATATTGTAAACACAACTTTACAATGTCTGTATACAAGTTAAATTGCTATTGTGTTAGAATCACCTTATTCATGTACTTGCCCACCACAGATGGAAGGTCAGTTTTGGGCTTGTAGTTGCCAAAGAAGGTGCCCTTGAGAGTCCTCTCATTCAACAGATTCATTGGATGAGTTTTGAACGCATCGTCTTTGTTTGGCACACCAACAAGCACGGCCACACCCCATCCCTGTAATCAAGTAACATAAAGTTGAACTTACATTTGTTTGTTAGAACGTAAAAGAGATCGAGAAGATTTTCAGATAATAAATTTACATCATGAACACATTCAAAAGCAGAGATCATGGCGTTGACATTTCCAGTACACTCGACACTTCGGTCAACACCTCCATCTGTCATCTCAGCAATGACCTGAAAATCATCCCTCCATTAATAAAAGTAATGTTGTAAGGAGTTAACAGACTCCCAAAGATATGCTATGTGTAGTAGTGAAGATGTGAAGGACAAACCTGCTGGACAGGCTTATCATAATCTTTTGGATTCACAAACTCTGTGACACCAAACTTCTTGGCTGTGAAAATTTTAATGAAAAGCATAGAATCAATGCCAACATTTATCAGAATTAATTACAATGGACATTCTTGTTCATAGAAAATCAATGCACTCACCATCATTGAACCTGCTGGGATTCAAATCAATGCCAATGACCCTAGAAGCCCCAGCAATCCTAGCTCCTTCAGCAGCCTAATAATTTTGTCAAAATGACAAGGAAAACATTCTCAAACTTCACACCGCTTTGACAACGAAAACTACATAAGAAAAATAGAAGGTGGAATATGTACTCACAGCAAGGCCAACAGCTCCCAAGCCAAAAATAGCTACAGTAGAACCTTTGGTAGGTTTGGCAACATTGAGAGTTGCACCAAGTCCTTCAGAATAGATGAACTCCATCAGATATCCAATTTTAACTACTCTTTCATTTAACAAATGAGTAACTGGCTACATTTCAATCCAACCTGTCGATATTCCACAACTTAGAACGCAAACTTTGTCAAGTGGTGCCTGTGGATCAATCTTGGCGACGCATCCAGAATGGACAACGGTGTATTCACTAAAGGTGGAAGTTCCAACAAAGTGATATATCGGTTTTCCATCCTTGGAGAATCTTGTCTGACCATCATGGATCATAACTCCCCTGTCTGTGTTTATTCTAAGGAGGTCGCACATGTTGCTTTCCTCTGATTTACAGTGTCGACACTGCTGGCATTCACCAGTGAACACAGGAAGAACATGGTCTCCTGGTTTGAGATCTGTAACACCTTCACCTACACTCTCCACAATTCTATAGCCACACAAATGGAACTTTATTTTAGAATATACTGATTATGTTTGAAAGTAGTTTAAGAAAATCAACTAATATAAAAGGTCATACCCTCCAGCTTCATGTCCGAAAATTCGAGGAAACAGAGGTGTTTGCCCCTGGAACAAAAGGAAGGATCTCAAATCAATAAGATCACCAAATGGACCAATATATAAAGGAATAAAGTAAAACGTCTCAAAAGGAACATTAGTTTATTCCTTTAAGGAAACCGCTATGATTGAAAATACAAGTTTCAGCAGCATAGAGAATTTAAAGCACACATGAAACAAAAATCAAAAAGAGAAGAGAACTAAAGGTATGTAGAAAAAACCTCAGACAATTCCTTCGGTATCAAAAGTTAACCATAAGTTTAGTACATTCTTAATGTAATCATTCTACCAACTTCCTATGTATTGTATAGATTTCTTTGTGCTTCTAGCACCCAACGATCAGGGTATTAAAGAAAATAAGAAACTAAAGAACCCAAAGTTCCCACATAGTTATGTAACTCAACATGGTAGTTAGGTTCTCCCTCTATATAATGATTCTTTTATAACACCAGAGCATGAACAATCAAATGCGAATGACACTTCTGACTTCCGACTGCCGTATTCTTCTTAAAATTCCAAAACTAGCATTGCCACTGTGAAAAGGTCCATAGGCTGTTCTAAAAACTCATAATGAGAATAGGGAATCAGTTATAGAACTACCATTTATTTGAAAAATATTCTGACGGCCCGCGGGGGAAGAATCAATGGAAGGCCAGAAGAGATGGCTCATACCAACCCAACTGAAGATTGGCAGTTAAGATACTTAATTCGCCAACTAGACAAAATTGTGCCAAACTGGAATTAAATCATTTTGATTACCATTTTCCAACAGAAATACATGGTATTACTATATATGTAAAGCAAAAAACAGGTTGAGATATATATATGCTCTAGAAAGTCAACAATTAATTAAGTTAGAAAATGTAGCGCGGCAAGCAGTAATAACGTACCTTAGCTTCCCAGAAGTAAACATCAGTATGGCACAAGGAGGTGAAAAGAATCTTGAGGCGAACTTCACTTTTCTGTGGTGGTGCAACCTCCACTTCTTCTATCACCAATGGCTTCCCGGCTTCCCATGCAACCGCAGCTGCATGCATTATACATTCACAAAATAGTTTATCAAAATAGGAAAGTAATAGAAATTTTTCCAAAACAAAACTACTTGTCAAAATACACACACCAAACAGACCATGCAAATACAATATATAGCATGAGTTATCACTATTTGGTTTCCGACCTCAAAAGCATTAATTAGATGACTCAAGAAAATACATTTATTTTTCATGAACAAAAATATCTATATTCACTGACTACTCACTACCTAAAAATACTTGTTATACTAAACCACTCATTTATAAGAATGTATAGAATAGTGTGGAATATAATGGTACTAACAAATAACTAAGCAAACTTCGCCTAAATTACACATCTAATCAAAATCCGTGATACATCAGAAACAACCATTATACAAAAATACTACCCATAATTAATTAGGCACAAAAATAAAGTTCAGAAAAAAATAGAGGCAAAATTAAACCAGATCAATTTGTTTGACAAAAGATACTAACAGAAAACCTCATTAATTTGCAACAAAATGACCTGATCAAAAAATCCTCCCCTAATTGGACAAGCAAAAAAAACTGAGATCAAAGAAAGTACCTTTGCAACGAATGACCTGCCCAGCAGTATTGCTTGACATTGTTGTTGGTATCTTTTTATCTGTCTAATACAGTAGCTTATACTTTTTTCTAGTAATTTTAATGAACTGACTATATTCTTCTTCTATGTGAATATATATAGAGAGAGAGAGCAGAGAGAGTGAAGAAGAGAGTGGGAAAGTTGATAACTGCACACCGTCAGAATAGTGTTTTGAGGTGACAATGGACGAGAAAGCCGCTCACTTCAATTGAATACGTACGTTTTGCACGGGAAAATGGCGCACACGCGTCCTTCTTTCTCTCTAAATTCAATGGTCACTTTCTGGATTTTGGACCTTGTCAACACCACGTGTCCTCTTCTTCCACATGTTCACTAATAGGATTACTACTTGCTTTTTCGCTTGTAACGTGACAAGTGCCCATACAGAATATTTATCTCACGTTAACACTTTAATCAAATACTGTTATCTCTTGTGAAAATAATTATACCGTGGATGTCCATTTATTATTTCGCTATAGATAATTTTTCTGAAAAAGATTATGCATTTAGTACTCTATTGAAATTTATCTACAAACAGCTGATTCAGGCAGGTTGCAGCAGCTCAATGAAATGATTTGCAGCACCTTCTTATTAAACAGACAGGTTGCAAGCAGCTCATGCAGACACCTTACAAGCAGCTAAAGAAAAGCCTTGCAGCTGCTTCCTGAAAAGTCTCGCAACTGTTTCCTTTCTTTTATAAATAGAGAATTTTTCAGTTCATTATGTACATAAGTTTGAAGTTTGAATAATATATCAATCACTCTCTATACTTGTCTTCAGTTTATTTACTTTACAGTTTTTATTTTATAACACGTTATCAGCACGAGACTCTGCCATCCTGAGTAAATACTTTGAAAGTATCACAGGTACGAACTTTCTTTTTCTAAATAATGTCAAATCTTTCTAAACTTGAGTTTGTAGCCCTAGATATATCGGGCAAAAGCTACATATCTTGGGTGCTTGATGCCGAAATTCATCTTGATGCAATGGGCCTGGCAGACACCATCAAAGATAAAAATCAGGCATCAAACAAGACCGGTCCAAAGCAATGATATTCCTACGCCATCACCTTGATGAGAGCCTGAAAATGGAATATCTTACTATTAAAGATCCAGTCATACTGTGGAATAATTTGAAAGATAGATATGACCACCTGAAGATGGTCGTTCTTCCATAGGCACGTTATGATTGGACTCATCTAAGGCTACAAGATTTTAAATATATCAGTGAGTATAATTCTGCTATGTTCAGAATTATTTCCTAATTGAAACTATGTGGTGATAATATTACTGATCATGATATGTTGGAGAAAACGTTCACCACTTTTCATACCTCGAATATGCTCCCGCAACAGCATTATCGAGAGATGGGATTCAAAAAGTATTCTGAACTCATCTCACATCTTCTTGTAGCCGAGCAACATAATGGGCTATTAATGAAAAACCATGAAAGCCGACCTACTGGTTCTTATCCATTCCCTGAAGTGAATGAGATGAATTTTCACCAAGCTAAGCGTGGAAGAGGACGTGGCCCCAGTCGTGGTCATGGCCGTGGTCGGGGAGGAAACTCTAATCGTGGTAATAACAATGCACCAAAGAACCCTCCTCACCACCAGCAGTGGGAAAGGAAGGAACAAAAGCATGAAGCGGTGCAAGCAGCAATGACAGAAAATGCATGCTATAGATGTGGAGGAAAAGGGCACTAGTCACGTACATGTCGTACGCCAAAGCACCCGGTAGAGATGTATCAAGCCTCCCTGAAGAAGACAGAGAAAAATGCTGAAGCAAATTTTATTTCTGAAGATAATTTAGACTTCATGCATTTGGATGTAGCTGATTACTTTGCACTCCCAGAAGGAGAAACAAGTCATGTGATCGGTAGTGAATCTGTAGAAATGTAAATATTTTAATGTTTGTTATTTGTAGTAGATAGTATGGTTATGTAATTGTTGTACATAAATAAAAGTTATGCTTTGAAAATGATGTTTACTATCATATTTATTTTGTTTATGTCATTTTGAAGAATATGGATAATCCTCAAATTATGTTTGGATCAAAGACCAATCATGAAGATATTTGTGTAATTGATAGTGGAACAACTCATGCCATATTCAAAGATCAGAAATACTTTTCTTATTTGCATAAGGAAAAAGCAAATGTTTCAACAATTTCTGGTAATATAAGTTTGATTGAAGGCTCCGGAAGAGCCATAATATTTCTGTCTAAGGGAACAAAACTTATTATAGACAATGCATTGTTCTCCTCCAAGTCCCGAAGAAACTTGTTGAGTTTTATAGATATCCGCCGAAATGGGTATCATGTTGAGACAATAGATGAAATGAACGTGGAATATCTTTGTATTACAAAGAATATTTCTGGCCAGAAATGCATTGTAGAAAAGTTACCAACTTTATCTTCTGGCTTATACTATTCAAAGATTAGTATAGTTGAAGCACACTCTATCGTAAACCGGACGTTTACTGATTCAAATAATTTTGTGCTTTGGCATGGACGTTTGGGCCATCCTGGATCAATAATGATGAGACGAATTACTGAAAATTCGAGTGGGAATCCATTAAAGAACCTGAAGATTCTTACAAATAATGAATTTTCTTGTGATACTTGTTATCAAGGCAAAATGATCACTAGACCATCACCAATGAAGGTTGGCATTGAATCTCCTGCCTTTTTAGAATGTATACATGGGGATATATGTGGATCTATTCACCCACCAAGTGGGATGTTTAGATATTTTATGGTCCTAATAGATGCATCTTCAAGATGGTCTCATGTGTGCCTACTATCATCTCGCAACTTGGCGTTTGCAAAGTTATTAGCCCAAATAATTCGATTAAGGGCACAATTCCCAGATTATCATAAAAAGGCTATTCGCCTTGATAATGCTGGAGAATTCTCATCTCAAGCTTTTGATAATTACTATCTATCAGTTGGGATAAAAGTTGAACATCCTGTAGCTTATGTTCATACTCAAAATGGCCTTGTAGAGTCATTTATTAAACGACTGCAATTGATAGCAAGACCACTACTTATGAAAATAAAATTGCACATTACTGTTTGGGGCCATGCTATCTTGCACGCAGCATCACTTATCCGTCTCAAACCGATACATTATAATAAATATTCTCCGTCACAATTAGTTTTTGGTCATGAACCAAATATTGCCCATCTATAAATTTTTGGATGTGCTGTATATGTGCCAGTAGCACCACCACAGCGCAATAAGATGGGCCCCCAAAGAAGGTTAGGTATATATATTGGGTTTGAATCACCCTCTATTATTCGCTATCTTGAACCATTGACGGGAGATTTATTTATACTCGATTTGCAGATTGTCGATTTGATAAAAGAAATTTTTCACAATTATGGGGAGAGAAAAAGGAAATCAAAAGAGAAATTGTGTGAAACGTTTCATTATTATCTCACTTTGATCCACGTATCCCTATATGTAATCAGGAGGTCCAGAAGATCATCCATTTATAAAATATAGCAAATCAAATGCCATACACATTTACTGATTTGAACAGGATAACTAAGTCACATATCCCTACAGAGAATGTTCCTATTCGAATTTGATGTCCCAACAGGACCATCTACTAGCATGAGAGCTAGTGAACCTAAAGCACGCCTGAAGCGTGGTAGGCCTTTGGGTTCTAAGGATCGAAATCCTAGAAAAAGAAAATCGACAAATAATCAAAATGATATTATGAAGGGATCTCCTAAAGAGACCCAAGATCTAATTAGTTCTGAGATTCCTCAAGAAATCAATGAACCCGAGACTCCAGTGAGTGAGGAACTTTTAATAAGTTCTACTGGTGATGAGATTAATTTAAATCGATCTGAAATAGTGGTGGATGATATTTTTGCATATAATATTGCACTTAATATTATGCAAGATAGTGAGAATCTTGAACCCCGATCTGTCGAAGAATGTCGACAAAGATCTGATTGGCCAAAATAGTAAGAGTCAATTCAATCGGAATTGAAGTCACTTGCTAAAAGAGAGGTCTTTGGACCAGTAGTCCAAACACCTGCTGATATAAAACCAGTTGGTCATAAATTAGTTTTTGTGCAAAAAAAGGAATGATAAAAATGAAGTTGAAAGATACAAGGCTCGCCTTGTTGCACAAGGATTCTCACAATGACCTGGAGTCGATTATGAAGAAACTTATTCACCCGTTATGGATGCCACAACATTTCGATATCTCATCAGTTTAGCCTTACGTGAAAGGCTTGAAATACATCTAATGGATGTGGTTACAGCTTATTTGTACGGGTCACTTGATAATGAAATTTACATGAAAATTCCTAAATGATTTAAAATGTCTGAAGCATATTTAAAATCTCGGGAAATGTACTCAATCAGATTACAAAGATTTTTATACGGTTTAAAACAATCTGGGCGCATGTGGTATAACCGCCTCAGTGAAAATTTGCTGAAAGAGGGTTACATAAATGATGTTAATTGTCCATATATTTTTATATAGAAAATAGCTTCAGAATTTGTTATACTTGTTGTTTATGTTGATGACATAAATCTTGTTGGAACTCCAAAAGAGCTCCAAAAGGCAATTGAATATCTTAAGAAAGAATTTGAGATGAAAGATCTTAGAAAGATAAAACTTTGTCTTGGTCTGCAAATTAAACATTTAGCAGACATGATCTTTATCCATCAATCTGCCTATACAGAAAGGGTATTAAAACGCTTTTACATGGATAAAGCGCACCCATTAAGTACACCAATGGTTGTTCGATCACTTGAAGTGAATAAAAATTTGTTACGTCCTACAAAAGAGGATGAGAAACTCTTTGGTCCCGAAGTACCCTATCTCAGTGCAATTGGTGCACTAATGTATCTTGCTAATGCTACAAGGCCTGACATAGCATTTTCTGTTAATTTACTTGCACGATATAGTTCTTCTCCTACACGGAGACATTGGAACGGGATTAAGCATATATTGCGATATTTAAAGGGAACTCTTGATATGGGTTTATTTTATTCTAACAAAGGTAGTGCAGAGCTTGTTGGTTATGCAGATGCAAGTTATTTATCTGATCCCCATAAAGCTAGATCTCAAACCAGGTACTTGTTTACATGTGGAGGTACTATCATATCATGGCGCTCCACAAAATAATCT